TCATCTTGCTGCTTCTGTGCGACCTTCAGAGATGGGTGTTGTTATTAATTGGCTCAGGCTATTATATCAAAAAGAGCAGGGCAGGGAAGCATGGTAAGTTTAGGGTTTTGATGATAGTCTTACAGGAACATAGATGTGCCAGTGAAATGGCCTTGCTGGGTCATCTGACCCCCATGCGTGCCCTGACCAGGACCTAGCAGCCCTCGTACGTGTGGAGCAGCCGAGGCTGCAACAGTCTCACTGCAAACACAAAACAGCCATCTGAAGTTTATGAATTCAGCTTAAGTCTCAGCTTCTTAAAAAAGAACTTGCCTGAAAACAGCTGCAGGGCATTTGCTTCTGTGAGCACCGTGCCTTCACATTGCCTGTAGACCTTCACTTCCTCCCTGTCAAAGCTCAGTGCAGTCTGCTGAGATTGACGCTTATGTCAGGCAGTGAACAGAGGGCTCCAGGCCACACGAGGGCGTTGATCTCCCCATGAGGACTGCACTCCCTGTGGTGTGCTTACTAATGCTGAGCTCAGCTCTGACTTGTTTCATGCATGGCTGGCCTCCTGCAGAGACCTCAGCACAACCTCTGCCCTAGACCACAGTGACTCCAGCAGCTTCAAGCACAACTGAGCAGCTATTGATCACAGGGAATGCCAAGAGCTCCCTTTCCCAGTGCAGAGCTTGGGGTGGTCTTCATGCATGGCAGTGGAAGAGATGGGACCTTTTAAAGTGGAGATTTGGCCTAAATGTATCTGGTTCAAGAGATAGGATTTATAAGTACATGTTCGCCTTCTTCCTGTTTTGCCCCTGGGTCCTTCATGGCCATCTCCTGTGGGTAGGGAAGAATGCTTGCTGTGAAGTGACTGTATGTGCTGGCTCCCTGTGCTCACATCACACCCTTAACAGGACACCACTTTTGAAGTGTGCCTCATTTTTTTAGTCATGCATGGAAAGTTAAATTAACCTTAGTTGACTTAATATCAAGAGAAGTGTAAGCACAAAAAGAAAAACAGGCAAGGTATGGTGACCCACATCTGTGATCTCAACACTGCAGGCTGAGGCAGGAGGATCACAGGTACAAGGCCAGCTTGGGCTATGTATTGAAAAATTAAAAAAAAAAAGTATAAACTTTCATTTGTTAACCCAGAAATCTTTAAAATTTCTACAATGGATTTTCTAAAGGATGAGAGTGCTCTGGGCTTTCTGGTGTTAGATGTTGACAGGTCCCAAGATGAAGTATGTGGGTGTCTCCACTTGTAAAGTGTTTCTGCTTGCAGATGTAATGATTCTTATCCTTCCAGCCACCCCTGTTGCCAGCCAAAGCTGGAGGTTTGCTTTGGTTTGGTTTTTCTCTAAAAATCAGAGGGTGGAACGAGGGGAGAGGAGGTGCTTACAGATAGGTGGTCCTCTTAGAACAGGTGGTGCTGCCCCCAGCTGGCCTGCACTTGCCAGGTCACCAGGTTTCCAGGCCCTTGGCCACCCTCCCATTCCTGCATTCCTCTGGAGCCTCCAGCATTTGCTCTGTGAAACCAGCTTGTAAACAGCAGTGCAAGTACCTCAGAGTGGTGCACAAGAAGGGCTTCCAGAGGGCTCTACCCTGCCCATGGAACCTTGTCACCCAGTCACCTGCTCAGCACTGTCACTGTCCAGATCCTCTGCCAGGCCACACGGGATGAGACTGTGCAGGAGTGGACCACAGAGTGAAAGGAGTGGGAGTCTGGGAAAAAGAAGGCTACGCACATCCACGAGAGGCCGATTGCTGCCAGGTCACATGAGGCTACAGCAGGATATGTGAATGTCAGCCACACCTGGACCCCAGGACTGCCTGCTTCACATGTCTTTGCCTCTACTGGAGAAAGTTGGCAGACCACCATCCTGAAGCATGGCCCAGGAACTCCAAAAAATGAGAATAAGATGTTGGGAACCAGCAAGAACACAGTTGCTGAACCCGGACTGAGACAGATGGAGTGTAAGCCAGTAGCCTGTGAGTGCACAGGATGGCAGGAAAGGAAGGAGCTTCCTGATTCCAGCAGATAAGCTGTGTGAGAGGGTCCTCAGCATCCTCAGGATGGCTCGTGGGACATGCTAGCACATCTTTCCCTGGATGGGAGTGGTTTTCTGTGTCCCAAGCTGGGAGTAGCCTCACCCTCAACAGTTAAGTCATCTGGAAGTCAGCATCACGATGCAAATAAAACTGATGTGAGACTTTGTAAAATCAGAACAATGTGACAGACCCAAGGGTGGTTTCTCTGCTGCTGTTGGTCCTGGAGCAGCAGCTGCACCAGAGTTGGGCTCTGAAGTGTGGCCCCTTGGCTGGCAGGGCCTGGACGCCTCACAGAAGTAGAGCACATCACTACCTCCTCTTTTCCCATTGGAACTGTGATGCAGAGAACCTGAACCCCAGTTCCATGAGGTGGAAGACCATCAAGCCTGGGTCCTGGTTTCTCATGGGACTGTGACCTTGGCAAAGACTGTGACTCTAGACAACAGGTTGTCTAGAGTATGTTTTCTTTAAGTGTTTAATGGTAGAAAAAGGTTTTCCTGAAGGTTATTCAGATACATTTTTGTTGAAACTGAGTCATGTCAGCATGGCCTCTCCCCTGGCTGATCCCAGGGGCACTGGGTGAGGAGCAGGTAAGAGAGGAGTGACAAGATCCGTGGCTGGCGAGACTCCTGCCTGCTCACTGATGCACTGGCTTCATTACTGAGCAGTGTTCCCTTCACAGAAACACTGAAAGTTAAAGCAAGTAGACGAGATTGTTGGCCTCTGCATTGTTAGGAAAAATCTGTTAAGATACGACCCTTCTCTTTAAGTCAGCACTTAAGTTGAAAGCAATTCCAATTAAAAACGAAGACAACACTTTCTGTGGAACTTAACCAGAAAATAAAGCAGGTAATATGAAAGAGGGATATGACGAGCAGAGGCCATTTTTAAGAGAACTGTCAACAGGAAGGACTTCTCTATAAAGAGTCCTAGGAGTTAAAAAGCATACAGAAAGGCGTGGGTGGTATCAAAAGACCTGTGCACCTTGGGAATTGTGTGCAATGATGCAAGCTTGTTGGGGAGCAGGTTAAGTAAACGGTGCTGGCCACTTGACCTCCTTGGGAAGGTTGATGAGTGGAAACTCCTGCTTCACACTGACTCCAGATGGAGCACTGGCTGCTGTCAATAACAGGTCTGGGGAAGGCACAGACAGCACGGAAAGTACTGTGTGTAAGGCTCTGTCCCAGGCTGTGAGAGAGTAAAGGAAACGCCAGCAGCAAGAGGTCCCACCAACCACAGAGTTTATAGGGAAGCCCATGGCAGAGAGCCAAGCAGAAGCAGGTCCTGAGTTCTAAAAACAAAAGGGAAATGCAAACTCCACTGAGTACCAGCAGAGGCTCAAACTCACTGTTCTCCAGGGCATTTGAGTAGAGAGGCCTGTCCTTCCCATGGAGGGCCCTGGGGTCAGTGCAGTAAGCTGAACTAAGCTCAGCAGCCCCATCAGGAGAGCAGGCTGCACAGCTACCTGCCTACATCACCAGGGCACTGAAGGGTCAGCAGGACAGAAGCCAGTGGCAACCTCATTCTTCCCACTGTAGATAGATCTCACTGCACACAACGGTGTGGCACCATGCCATGTAAAACTGATGGACCATTCATCTGTCCAGAGGATGGACCATTCATCTGTCCTTTTATTTCTCAAGCTAATGAACCAAATTGGAAAAGGTCCAGTCTTTGATTAATCAGCTGCCGTTCTCTCAGCCTCCTGGGTGCATGGCACCCCTGTCAAACTAACTCCAGCTCCAGGTGGGCACACCATTCTGCAGGTGATGGCCCTGATCACCTGCTGGTGCTCGCCCCTGCAGACAGCAGTGTACATTTATATGGAGCAGGAATCATGAGGTCATGAGGGTGGCACATTTGTGCTTCTTGGTAGCCATGAGAAGCTTTTGAGTCAATCTGATTAAGAAACTCCCCCTGACTTCTGCCTGGCTAATTATTGAGCTTTTTAAAAAACAGCATGTGGTCTCTTACTTCACCCTGGGCTTTGTGACAGCAAATGGTGAGAATGACGCTGGAGCTGGCAGCTGGATTTCTTCTACCTCTGTCCAAATGGAATTCTTGTGTTCCACTAATTCTTGGTAGCAAATACTGTGTTGCAAATGGTCTTCCTTCACTTTCAAATCAGAACTAGGGGTGTTTGCTCTGCCTAGAGAGCTTATTGACTGTATTGTTCCTTTTGGGGCTAGTAGGGGATTTGGGCTGCATCTGCAAGGGAAGCTGATTGTCATCTGGCCACATGGTCACATGTATGCATCTTTCAGTGGAAAAATCCTCATTAAATGGATTGTGATTGATTCAGAATATGTGGAAAAGTATTCTTTCAGCAAGGCAGCACCAGCTAGTGCGCGCGCGTGTGTGTGTATGTGTGAGAGAGAGAGAGCGAGAGTGAGAGAGAGAGAGAGAGAGAGAGAGAGAGAGAGCGAGCGAGTGCATGCACATTGCTTTATGATCTGCAAATGTCCAGGTGAAATAATGCATAAACACTGAAAAACAAACTGGAGCTCACATCCCACTGGGAGAAGTGTCTGCAGGCAGCTGAGGCAGTATTGGGCTGTGCTTGGCCTGCAGTCAAGGGGGTCCTACCTGCAGGACTCATCCCCACCTGTTCACCTGGACAACTGCCCGTCTTTCTGTCCTGCTTCTCTGGAATGTTGTTTCACTTGGGCATCTCTGTCCTGGCCCTGGATCCTTTTTTAGTGCAGCTTATTTTTCCCAAGCTTAGTTTTATTGTTGCCCTGGCTGCCTGATGAAGACAGAGCTGAGCACTTGATGGCCATGTGCTCGCAGTGGCATCAGGGCTAGATATAGTGCAAAGAAGTGATCACCATGGTGTCACTGAAGTGGAAAAGACACAGCCAAAAGTGGGCTTTGGCGGAGTATGGAGGGGAGATGTGACTAGCCAGGAGTGGTGGTCTGGTTATTGTCACACCCTCACCAACCTCTGTGTCCTTTTTTCCTCCTAGAATCATCGACCAGCGATTCGAGAAAGTTTCCTACTTTGTCTTTGGTGATTTCAACTTCCGCCTGGATTCCAAGTCCGTCATAGAGGTAGGCACGGCCTCTCACAGCCCACAGGTACTGTGCCTCATGGTAGCAGAGCTGAAAGAGCAGTGCAGGAGTGCCATCCCTTCCCAGCCACACTCACGCCGTGTTTTTCATGGACTACATTTTTTAAAGCAAAAAAATCTTAATAGAGAAACATCCTTGTTGTCAGAAGAGGGGGTCTTTATTGGAAATAGACAGGGATTGGAGTTCCTCAGAGCTGGGCAGTTGGTCCACCAGTCAACAATTACTGGCCTTTAGAGCAGGCAGCCCTGTGTCCTGCAGACTCAGTGAACCTCTCACAAAACAGCTGGGGGAACTGCTGAAGGCTACAGCTCAAATACCTGCAAAGTTAGGGCTTCTCGGGCTCCTACCTGACAGTTTTCCAACTACATTTTAGCTGTTTTTCCTCATTGTTCATGTAGAAACTATAAAAGCTCACTATGAATTTTGTACTTACCTGTCTGCAAGCTACTTGGTCTGTTTCATAAGTTGATACTGTGTTGGTTCTTGGGAACTCAGAGGCTGTGCTGGTTCCTGTGGGTGCTCCAGGCTGAGCGCTAGGATCCAAGGGCCCCTGGAGTGACTGCAGCTTGCAGACCTTGGCCCTGGGACCAGCAATGTGCACACTGAGGTCAGAAGGAAGCTGTGTGAGTTGGGCATGTCACCAAGAAAAGTGAATCTGTAGTAAGGTCCATGGATGTGGCTTTGCTTCCTTGGCTCTGGGACAGTGGGCTGGGGTCACTGGTCGCTCTCCGTTCTGTCCTGGTTCTTGTGTGACATTGGGATATGCCACCTTCCTCGGCAGTATCAGTGTGGGAGGTGCAGAAATGTGATACACAAACCATCTTCTGCCTTCCCTACATGAGGAGGCCTGGGCAGCAGGCCCGACAGCACCTCCAGCCCTATGTCAGGTGACTTCAAAGCACTTGGCACATCACGTAGCACAAACCGGGTAACAGCCACAAGTTCATCTTCCTCAGAAAATTGCTCCTTGCACCCCAGTGGTACTAGGGTCTTGAACTGATGGCCTTGTGCTTGTTAAGCAAGAACTTTATAACTTGAGCCACCCCTCCACCCTTTTTTTGCGTTAGGTTCTTTTTTCAGATAGGGTCTAGCATTTTCACCCCAGCCAGCTCAGACTGTGATCCTCCTACATAGCTGGAATTACAGGCATGTACTACCACACTCAGCTTATTTTTTGAGCTAGGGTCTCTCTCACTTTTTGCTTGGACTAACCTTGAACTACAATCCTCCCAATCTCTGCCTCCCAAGTAGCTAGGATTACAGACATGAGCCACCACACTTGGCAGAAAATTATTTCTTAAGGACAGAGCTGAGTAGGCTTTTACACATCCACTGTCTTACTTTGGTGAATGGAAATTGATAATGTCTGTGGAGATCCGTTTGTGTCTAATTAAACTGAGAGCCCTTGCCAGGGAGGCACCACAGTGTACGTGTGAACTTTTGGTAACATGACTGGTCTTCCCAGGTGCTCAGTAGCTCTTGGTAGGGTTGCACCTTCACCAAATCATGGAGAAGGAAGGAGAGCTAGGACCACATGCAGCTTTTTTGTTTTGGTGGTAATACAGTTTGAACTCAGGACCTCATGCTTTCTGGGCAGGCACTCTACTGTGTGAACCATGCCCCCAGTCCCACATGCAGCTTTTAAGACAGATTCTATTGGGTCTGTGGGGGGAGGCGGGGAGTGTTTAGGGAGGAGACCAGAAAATCCTGTATCTATCCTACTAGGTTCTCCTCTGCTTGGAAGTTACAGAGCTTGTCTCGCTAGTATCTGTGGGGATCTCTCATAGCCTGGAAGCCACTCAGGGCACAAGAGGCCACAGTCCTTGTGGAAGGTCCCTCCTTAGCACACTCACCACTGGGGCTGGAAAGCCACACTTGGCAGATGAAGAATCTCTGCTCCTGATCCTCTACACTCGATTCCTGGCTCATTGGTGGAGACTAGTGTCTCTGCTGTGCACATTGACTTTCTCGGATGGCCAGAGCTGGTCAGTGCAGAGTGGCCTGGGTTAGGAAAAGGTCAGAAGAGCTCGGGAATGGCCTTTTCCTCCCAGGTAGAACAAATGTCACAAGTAGGGCAGCTGGTCCTGATGGGGCAGAACTGTTGCCAGGCACTGGTTCTGAGTTGCCCTTTGGGATGAGTTTGTGTGGGAAGACAGTTTGGCTGTCATAGGTGCAAAGCAAAGAGGCACAGCTGGGCCTGTGGGGGCTTTTAGAACATGCTAGGCAGGAAAGCTTGGGTCTCTGCAACAGGGTTGAGTCACTGAGGCACTGTGGGGCTTTTCTTTTTCTTACTAGGTGGAAAAGTGAGAAAATACCTGATGTAGCTTTGCACATCAATATGATGGGGCCATGCACTTCAAGGGGAGCCAGGCTGGAAGGAGCCATGGGGCCAATCAGCACTTAACGGACATACTACATTTTCTCATTTTTTGCAAAGTGGCCCCATTCTTCTCAAATGTTCTACACAGTACCCTTAACTTCATCCACCTTCAGCCACTTTGGTTGATCTCCATGATGGTCCTGTTTCTCAGGGTCAGGAATCCTGACACAGAGGTACTTGCAGTGGGCAGTTCAGGCAAGAGGAGGGGAGGAGTGGACATAGAGGGCTGCAGTCTTGGGCAGCATTTCCCGCTGGTTTTCGGTCTGGGACCCAAATGTCATCCAGTACAGGAAACCACAATGCCCTGTCTTCGGGGACGGACTGTGGTAAGGGAGCCCTGCCATATGTGCCCAACCCAGCCTCAAGGGGATGCAAGGATGGATGGACAAAGCACACATAGAAATGGGATGGTAGTGGGGAGGAGGGATTTGCGCCTGAGACCAGAGCTAGGATTTCCTTCTTGGTGAATGAACCTGCTTCTTTCCAAAGCAGCCGTCAGACATAACCTTGATGTCAGTCTACCAAAGACTCCTCAAATCCTAACAACCTTGTGCTTAGGGCCGTTCCGTTGTGAGTTGGCAAAGACTTCCAGGAACAGCTCTTCCAAAAGTCCAGGGCTTCAAGGACCTCTGACTATGCTGCAGAAGTCATGGGACCAGCTTCAGGATCTGACACTGGCCAGGCAGGTACAGCACCACCAGCTCTCCTCTGGAAATGCTGGCTCTTCATACCTCCTGATTTTCCCAAGAGCAGATCAGGAGCCATTGAAGTGCAGTTTCAAGTGTAGAATCCTCTCACAACTGCTCTTCAGATGAAGTGCAGCAGTGCACATTTGCCTGTGCTCCTCTGTCCTTTGGCTTCTGCCCTGGGCCCAGACTGGTCCTCAGACTATTCCTTTTGTCCCTCTGCTGAGCTCCCAAAGTGTGCCAATGCCATGTGTTTGCCTCTGTCCACAAGTGCCAGTGTCCTCCCTGCCAGGACTGCATGGGTGCATTGTGACAGACCAGCACTGGTGAGTGGACACATGGGCCAGAGGCCTGGATACAGAGCAAGGAAGGAGACCACCAGAGCCAGTGCAGTGTCACTCCCTACTCTTTGCTTCTTGGGGCATCTGTACAATGTTGGGCAGCAAAGCATAAGTTTTAGTTGGAGTGAAAATTAAAGCAAACATTTTGCATTCAGGTGGCCAGTTAACAGGCAGTAGTCATCAGTCTGCTGGGTACTGAGGATGCTCCTGCCAGCCTCCAGCTAGGGCTGTCACCTGCTTCACTAGGATCCCAAGTCAGGGTGCTGGAGAGGCCAGGTAGTGGCGGGCACTTGAAAGTCCTGGGTACCACTGTTGGATGGGCAGGAATGGACACCAGAGTGTGGTGAGCGGGCAAGACCTCAGTGTGGACAAGAAGATGGTGGAGCTGGTGCTCCTCGTGGGGAAGCACGAGATCAGTCCTGTCTCGTGCCACAGGCCATGTGGGGCTTCTTCTCAGGCACAGGAGCTTTAGCCTCATGTGCACAGCCAGCTCTTTTGTGCAGCTAAATTCTCAAAAGCTACTGAAACCAGTGTGGGGCACAGGCCACCTCCTGGTCTACCAGGAGCTGCTGGACGTTACAGCAATCCGTCAAGTAGCAGAACTGTCCAGGTCCCTGACTGAAATGGCAGGCAGCCTTGTGGAGGGTAAGGTCTGAGCAACCTGCTGCCTCCATTCGTGTCACCTGCCAACAGCATCTCCCCAGGTCTGCTGAAGCCCCCAGTGCTACAGCACACAGCTCTGTGGAGCAGAAGCTCCCTGCGTGGAAGGTGGCTTCCGCAAGTGAGTACTCTCTTCCAGACTCCTACATGAGTCTTCAGTTGAAGCCCCACAGAAGACAAGGTGAGAACAGGGATGAGAAGACAAGGTGAGAACATGTCCGGAGCCTGTGTGCTTCCCTCCAGCTCTGAGGAGGGGACGTCCAGGCAGAAGCATGGCAAGTGGAGCAGCAGAGTGTCCCAGACCCCACTCACCGGACATCCACAGCCCTGCCCACTGTGCCTGTGCCATGGCCACCAGGACATGTGGCCATAAGCACCTCTGGCAGCTGAAGAGTAGGGTCTCAAGTCTTACCTTAGTTCAGGTTTTACAGACTATGTGGCTGGGGCTAGCCTGCAGGCAGGTCTAGATGGTTTTTATTACAAATGCAAGTAACACAGTGTTGGAGAAAGGGTTCCACATGGACTTGCTGTTCTGTTAGCCTGTGGTTCAACTTACTCATCATGTTCTCATTCATCTTGGAAACACAGCTCTGGGATGTGCCCAGTGTGGGGTCTCCAGCCAGACACCCAGCTGCTCTTTTGAGTTGCCCAGAGAGCCCTGGTTTCACCAGATGTGGGGAGACCTCAGCCAGCCTGAGGAGGTTCCCTTTGAGGGTAGTCTCACTCCCAGTGGCTATGCAATTATTTTACACAGCAAGCTTTTCTTGGATTGCCTGCTTGCAGATGTTGGATATGATGGAACAGGAAGGTCACACAGGCTATGCTTGCTATTGCTCTGGGCCTCAGCCAAGGTTGGGCAACTACAGCCCCTCACCTTCTGTTGTGGGGCATCTTCCTCACACACTCACACCT